GTTGGAGTCAAGGTACAGTGTGTCCAACTGTGGCTGATCAGACCAATATGAGCTTTGAAGGCCCTACTACAAGTTGAGAACAAATAGTCTGCATGAACATTTGGAGTGGAGATCTCTCTAAATTTGTACATCTCACATTTCTTTTGAGCTACTGCAAGTCTGCTTTGGTCATAGATCATGGCGCCTTCTTTGATGTGGGCACACTGTGCTGGGCAGTCCTTTGCCAGTGCCTCTCATGTCATGCAACTGATTCCAAAGTTCTACAGAGAGACCTTGAGAGTGTCCTTGTATCATTTCTTTTGACCTCTGTGTGAGCACTTGCCTAGTGTGAGTTCTCTGTAAAATAATATTTTAGGCAAACATATGTTTGGCATTCAGACAACATGAGTAGCCCATTGGAGTTGTGCTTTCTGCAGTAGAGTTTGAATACTGAGCAGTTTAACTCAAGAAAGGACCTTAAAGTCCAGTGCCTTATCTTTCTAGGAGCCAAGGGACTTGTATTACATATTTAATTTGATACATCTACCATAAGCAAAGCACTGTTGTAGGCACTAGACACCCCAAGACATGAATGAAAAACAGTGCCTGCCCTCAAGGAGTTTATATTCTACTGGATTCTTGTACTGACTCATTGACTGACTTGCTTTGATCAAAGTTATTAAATATCTCTGTGTCTAGTTTCCTGTCAAATGAAGGTAATAATACTTGCCATATGTATTTCAGAGGACATCCTATGGATCAAGTGATATTGCTTATTCATTCATTTAATAAGCATTTATTAAGTACCAGGCACTTTTGTAAGCAGTGGGGACACAAAGACAAAGAGAGTTAAATAGTTGCTGTTCTAAAGAAGTTTACATTTTATTGGATGAATGTTAAAGTGCTCTACAAAACTCAAAGATGAGAATAAATGAACATTTGCATGGAACTTTTCTGACACTCATGCCATGAGGTAGGCAGCCCAAATATTCTTATTTCATTTTATAAATGACTTGCTCTTGGCTGCAAAGGTAATAACAACAATAACAATATCAACAACAACAATAGCTAGCATTTATATAGTGCTTTGGGCCGCTAGGTGATTCAGTGGATAGAGTGCCACGCCCACAGACAGGAAGACTTATCTTCCTGAGCTCAAATCGGACCTCAAATACTGACTAGCTGTGTGACGCTGGGCAAGTCCCTTAACCCTGTTTGCCTTAATTTCTTCATCTGTAAAATGAACTGGAGAAGGAAATGGCAAACTACTCCAGTATCTTTGCCAAGAAAACTACAAATGGGGACATAAAGAGTCAGATAGGACTGAAAAATGACTGAAAATATAGTGCTTTAAAGTTCACAAATTGCTTTACAAATATTACCTCATCTTATCCTCACACAGCTCTTGGAGGGAGGTGCTATTATTATCCCCCATAGATGAGGCAACTGAAGCACAGAGATTAGATAAATTGCTCAGGGTCACACACCCAATAGTCAGTTGTTGGAGCTGGGCCTTGAAACTAGGTCTCTCTGAATTGAAGTCTAGTGCTCTTTCCATTAGACTATCATAGTCTATTAAGAAAAAGAATTAAAAAAAAATCCCAAAGCCAGAAGTCACTTCATTTGAAGTTGATTTCTTGGATTGTGGCTGTTCTTTTTGTTGACTCAGAATAAATAGCAACTGGCTAATCGTGAGAGTCTTATCAGAGCTGCCCAATGTAGTCAGATCTCTTGGTAACAAGTTATACCTGTTTCAATAATACTTCATGTCATAAGAAGGAAACACCTCTGGAATAAATGCTTTGATGCTTGCTTTATCTCCCCCTACTATTGCAAAAAAATTGAGAGACAGGGAATAAAATCCTCAAGATGTATAAAATCTTAGAGTTCATCTAATTTAATGACTGAACACATGATCTAAACCGTTTCCAGACAAATGGTTTTGTTGCTGTTCAGTCATGTCCAGCTCTTTGTGACCCCATTTGGGTTTTCTTTGCAAAGATACTGGAGTGGTTTGACCTTTCCTTCTCCAGCTCATTTTACAGTTGAGGAAACTGAGACAAACAGGGGTAAGTGACTTGCCCAGGGTCACACAGCTAGTAAGTGTCTGAGATTTGAATGTAGAAAGATGAGTCTTTCTGACTCCTGTCCTGATGCTCTATCCACTGTGCCATCTAGCTGCCCCATTAAATGCTTAACAGATGCTTTATCTATTTATCCAGCTAACCCCTCCCTTCAGTGAAGCCTCACTTATAACAAAAAAAAGCCACTTAAGCAAAATAACTTTGCCATTGTATGCAATGTTCTGTACCAGTAGCCTCCCATCTCTTAACCTAGAGGACTCTCTAGGGCTAAATTGATCATTGCAGTTAATCTGAACTTGACTGATGTTTAGGGGTGTTTTTACTTATATTGTAGTCTTTGTTTCTTATTCTGCTTCTGCTTATTTTTCTCTACATCAGTTCATATAAGACTTCCCACATTTCTCTGACTTCATAACATTCGTTGTTTCTTATGTTACTATCACATTCTATTTAAATATGCCCTTCCCCCCCTTTTTTAGTCATTAGTCCCAATCAATGGGAATCCACTTCGTTTCTAGTTTTTGGTTCACACTAAGAGGTCTGTTACAAAATTTTTGACATATAGGGAACTCTTCTGTCTTTGACTTCTTTGGGATATTTGTCCTATAGTGCAGTGTGAAGAATTGTGATTTTTTTCTTGCACAACTCCAAATTGTTTTTTTCAGATCAACTGGTCCAATTTGGTTCTATCTCTAACAGAATGTATCATAAGTGTGCTTCCAACACTGTTCATATATTTCTTATTATCTTTCTCGATTTACTGGGTGTAAGGTGAAATTTCAATGTTGTTTAAATTTGCATTTTTTCATTTTAAATTATTTTGAGCATATATTCATATAAATGTTCTGAGTTTGCATTTGTTCTTTTGAGAACTGTTTCTATCATTTGACCACTTATCTAGAAAAACTCTTTGAGCAGTGACTAGAAGGTGAGTCATAACAGGGAGGAACCCTCCTCCCTGCCCTGCCCCAAGATTATTTGCTACTTTAAATCTGTGTTATGATTGTGAGAGTATGTATCTGGAGTATTCTTAAGGGATACATAGTTTATACCCCTAAACAGTAAACTTTAAGTAGTTGGTTGTGTGAAACACAATATAATAAATACTGTTGGGAAAGAGTAACACCTGAGAAGAGAAAGGGGAAAGAGATAATGAGTCATAGACAAAAGGTCTTTAGATCAAAAAAGAGAAATACTTTTGATACCCAGAGTGGTGCAGTGAAAGTTAATTCAAGAAAAGAAGCATTGGGAAAATGGATGGAAGCTGGATGGATGGCTGCCATTTTGACAGTTTTCCCAACTTGGAAAAGGTCCTGCTGTTGGGCTCCACCTCAGATTGCACTGCCCAGTCATCACCTCTTCCAAAGGAGGTGATGGCCCTATGAGAAGCAATATCATTGACAGCTGTTGGATCTACCTCTGCATCCTGATGCTGGTTTACCTTGGCTTGTCCCCTGACTTGGTTTGTGTGTCTAGATCCTGGCTTTGAACTACCCTGATCCTGTAGCTTGTGGATTCCTGAGTTGACAGAGGGATAAACATTGATGAATGTTCTCCTATAATCCACCTTATTCTGCTTCTCCCCTTTTGTTGTCTTTCATGGTTACTGATGGGGCCTCTCTCTCCAAGATTCCACATGCACATTGCCCTTTGATTCAGATAAATTGTGGCTATACTAGAAACCCTTTCCTGACCCTCATCTTTCATTCCACCAATTCAGTTAAGTTTTGTCTATTGTTAGCTTTAATCAGGGTTGTGCTGGAGTTGGCTTGCATCAGCAGAGCCAATTGTTAAACTTTTAGTTTGAGTATTTACACCTTAGAAATTGGCAAATGCTACAAACCATGGCTTAATTTATTATTTTGTTGATTGAATAGACTTAAGAAAATGATGAAGAAAATGTTAATAATGCAGATTAAACTTACAAGTGTGTGACATGTATCTTTTTTTTTAACTTTTTGAGATCTGGTTGTTAAAAATTTACCAGCATACCCCTGGCTATGATTCATGTTTATTGGGCTCTTACCAGTTATCTAGCGACCATTTGCACAATGACCTCCCTTGTATGTCAAGATAATTTGTGGCAAAAAGACAGCTGACTATTTATTGGGTTCCTTCCTTCCTTCCTTCCTTCCTTCCTTCCTTCCTTCCTTCCTTCCTTTCATGCCTACTTCATAACATATTAGGCACTGGCGATGGTGATATAAGTATAAGCAAATATAAATAAGACACACATTCTAATAACAAGAAGCTTATAATCTAGTGTGTGGGGAGTAAACGTGTACAGAGAAATGTAAATTTTAGAAAAAGAAAATGCATACAGGACTACAAAGTTCTAGAAAGTCAAATGATCACCTCCAGTTAGAGTGAGGTAAAATCAAGGGAAGCTTCATTCAGTATTTGACTATGATCTTAAAAGATGGGTAGGATGTTAATATACACAGAAGAAAAGAATATTCCAGGTGTAGAAAACAGTATGAACAAAAGTAGAGAGGTAGGAAAACAGGGTGTGTGTTCCAGGAAAGGTGAGTAGTCCATTTTAGCTACAGCATAGATTGTATGAAGGGGTATAGCATGAGAGGATGACAAAAGTAGCTTGAAGTCAGATGGTGAAGGATATTGAGTGTCAAGATTCAGAGTTTTGTCTCTATTTGGTAGCCAGTGGGAAGTCATTGAAGACTTTTGAGTAATGGACTAATATAACCATACCCTGCATCAAGAAGATCAATTTAGATATAACCATTTTGAGGATGGCGTTTACCAGTGGTGGGGGAAGGGGAAAGGGAGGGGGAGAGATGTTTGCCATGGCTTCCAGTTAGAAGCAAGCTTAATATTCCAGAAAAGGCAGACTGTGCATCACGATTAGACAAATTCATTAACAAGGAGAAAAAACTACACTTTTCAAGTCATGGGAAAACAAAGTAAAAATTACCCAAATTTAGGGGAATAGTGCCTTTAATATTTCAGTAACAAAACATATGGGTCATATTTGATGCATTCAAAGAACCCCAATAGTTTATAAGAGTAATCAATCATATTGTAAAGTCATACTAAATCTAGGCTTAAAAATAAAGTTTTAGAGAATGAGACAACACACCAAGAATCCCAAACAAAACCAAACCAACTCAACCATGTACAAAATGCTATGTTCATGCATGCAGCTCAGTGTCTGATCTTTGACAAAAGTACCAATATATATTTCGATAGAAAGCATGACATCTACCTCATAAGTTGAGGTCTGTGCCTACAACATAACCATATGTCTTTAAAAATCTACTTATGGTCTTTTCATCCTTGAATTTCATTTAAATGTTTCTTGAATTTACTTATATTTTTATCCCATGACACTTTTCAGATAATGCTGCTTACCATGTGAAATAGTTAATAAAAAATCCCCAAATTACTCCTTTTAAACTTCTAGGAACACATTATTGCTTTAATAATTTTATCTTTGGTAGAAAAATCCAATTCATAACCCCCAGGATTTTGTATACTGTGGAAAACATTTGGCTTTTTTTTTCCAAATGAGAGTACTCCTGGTGTCTAGGACAGTGCCTTGAACTTAGTATATGTACAATATGTGCTTTTGGATTGGAAAGAGTCCTAATATATGCCCCAAGTAAAAAATAAGCTCCTTCAGAGCAGAAACCATTTTTTACTTTGCTTTTATTTCCTTTGTGCATAGTACATGTCTTTTATGTAGGAGGTACTTGATAAATGTTCTATTAGATTAGATAGAAAAGTTGTAATATATACCCCAGCTAGAACTGAGCTCCTGGATTGTAGAAATTGTTTTAAATTTTGCCTTTGTATACCCAGCACCTGGATTGTATTCTACACATAATAGGTGTTAAATAAATGCTTTTTTGGATATAGTCTGTCCTTGTGGAAATTGATCACAAATGAATTGAAGGGGTGAGTATTCCTTTGACTTAATTACAATGTTATCATCTGGTTTCCTGAGTGACTAAGTCACACCTTGATAAGGTACTCTTGGAAATTGTGTTCATTTTCAGTTCTCATGTAGCCCTAGTAAATAAATGTTTGCTTCATTACCTGGAAAATGTTCTCAGACATGGAAAGAGAGACTGTAGTTTGCCAGAGTGCCTGCCTTACTCTCAGAGGACCATTTCCAGAATCAGAGAATTTTAGAGTTTAGGACCGCACTAGCTGTTTAGCCTAGCCCATACCTGGAAAGGAATCCTCATTAGAGTACAAATGGTAATCCAGTCACTGCTTTTGAATATCTCCAGTGAGGGGAGAACCTACTACTTCTAGGGGTACCTCATTCCACTCTTGAACAGCTCTAATTAGGAAGTTCTTCCTGTTATCCAGTTTAAATTTGCCTTTCTGTAACTTTTCCTTATTGCTACTGGTTCTGCCACCTGGAGGCAAACAGCAAATATAATTCCTTTTCTTCAATATAGTCTTTCACTCACTTGCTCCTGAGCCCAATTCTTTTGAATATGACATATATGACATGGCTTCAAGGTCCTTCATCATAGTGGTTGCCATCTTTTAGATACCCTCCAACTTACCACTGTTCTTCTTATATAGAATCTCAAACAGCCCACATTCTACAAATGTAATCTGACTAGGGCAGAATGTATAGGAACTATCATTTTCTTATTCCTGGAAGATATACCTCTCACTGTAGCCCAAGATCACATTAACTTTTTTTGACTGCCACATCACACTGCTAATTCATATGTAGCTAACACCCCCAGCATTTTCCAGACAAATTCAGACAAATTTTTCAGACAAATCCAATTATGTCTTCAAACAACCAGTTCCAGGAAAAAGAAATATGGAAGATGGAATATAATTTCCCTGCTGTCCATGTGATGTGGTGGTAAGAGAATCTAAATCAGTGTGATGAGCTTCAGGCCATATCTACACAAAATGCATTTGTTGGATTTGAATTAATAAGTGGTTAAGAAAGCAACCTATAAAATGACAAAGCCAAGCATGGTGCATGCTTTTGATTTGATTTGATGCAATATGATAGTGTCTATAGAAACATAAAGGTTAATTTCAGGCAAACAATTTGGAGAACAACTGTTTTCCAATTATGGACAGAAAATGTTGTAACCAGTGACCAAAAACACTCATGAAGATTCATTTTGTGTCTGACACTGTGATGGCTTTCTTTATTTTAAATTTACATAATGTCATATTCTGTGAAGCAAACACAATATAAATAATGGAGATTTAAGGGTGAAAAGTTACCAGGATCTGAGTGTTTATTGGATTAAAAAACAATGATATTCAATAAAGCATATTAATGTGAATCCAAATGTTTTGTATTTTTTCCTCCTTTTAATTGTGTGGTGGTTAGTCTGTTTCATAAAGATATTTTATCATTTTTATAATCCAACACTTAGGCTAACTGTACCTAGGGCTTTAATGGCAAAAAACAAAACAAAACAAAACAAAAAACAACAACTCATTGGAGACCTCACCTCTATCCCCTGAGGGCACAAGCCTCAAATCCTTATTTTCATATTTTCTTAAAAATGATAGTTAGAGCTCTTGTGAGAAGTTTTTAGATATTTTCCTAGCTGATTTGAAGTGCTAGGAGAAAAAGGCTAGCTTTATCACTTAGCAGAAAGGGTAATCAAAGCTTCTCAAATTATGAAATCATTTTGATTCAGGAAAATTTGTTCTTATAAAGCACAAATGACTTTGAAAGCTACAATGCAAGAAGATTTAGAGAAAGAAACAAAGGAAGTTCAAATGCTTCCTCCTTTTCACTTAACTGATTATTTGTTATTTAGTCACAGCCAAACACTAAAGGCTTTTGAATGGAGAGAAAGTAGCAGAAAATACTCTTTTTTGCATGGTTAAAATTATTCCTTTTGGTTAGAAGTGGGGTATTTTCCATTGGCTTAGTGGGGAAGCACGCTAATACACCAAAGGTTTCAGAAAAGATCTGAATCTCATTCTATAACTAAATAATAGAAAAAAAAAACTTAAAGAAAAAACAGAATGCAAAAACCATAACTGTTCCCAATGCTCCTAATAACTTTTGTACAAAATACACTGTAATGGAATTGTAAATAGAGAACCATGTAATGTACTATCCTAGACCATACTGCATGACAACCAATAGATGAAATTAATGTCTTCCAAATATTCAAACAACTAAATTCAGCTAAAAGAAATAAGGAAGCCTGTGTATAATTTCCTTGGTACTCATGCAATGTGATTTTCTTATTCCACAAACTATATAATGGATCTTTAGACATAGTCATATTTGGAAGGATGTGACTGTGCCTCATCTTCATTTCTAGATTTCATTTTGGGTTCATAGATAGTGCTGGGTTTGTAGCCTCCTGTCCTGTAGGCAACATTGTGACCTGAGGCATTATAGGACACAGCCTTGTAACTGAAAGAAAAAAAAAAGCAGCATGTCATCATGGTACAATGGAGAGAATACTGCACTGGGACTACAGGATGGACCCAGTTTTGCTATTTACTACTTGTGTGATTTAACTAATTCATTTTACCTATGTACATGATAGACATTTAATAAATGCTTGTTGTGTTGATTTCAATCTAGCCCATCCATCGTTTCATATAGGAGTATACCCCCCAAAACAAGATTGGTCAATGTTTTCCTTTCTTAAATATACCAAGAGAAGAAAATGCTATATCATTCTTTTATAACTTTTACTTGAATGGTGTTCTTCCATATTATTATTTCTTCAAAGTTTCAAAAGACTTCTGATTCCATTGGTATTCAATCAACCAGCATAGGATGAAACTTTCCCCCATTTTAGGAGGTAGTTTTATAAGTTGCTATAGCAAAAAGCAAAGCAAACTAAAACAAAAAACCATAATCTTAAAACAAAAACATCCCATCACCTGATAGCCAATTGCAGGAGCCTTTCTGAATTTAGCTAGCTTGGTCTTTATATAGCAGACACATGGTCCAGTGCTGGGCCTATACTTGATGCCATGAAGGTGGCAGAACACCATGGAAAGAATGTGGGATTTTGAGTCAGAGGATCTAGGTTCTAAGCCTTGTTCTGCCATTTACTACTCATGTGACCTTAGACAAGTCATTTGACAACTCTTTATATAAGTTCCTTCATCTATAAAAATAAGGAAACTTTGAAGTCTCTCCTAGCCCTAAATCAATGTTCTTGTGGCCCTATAGACTTGCCCTAGGTTGCATTCCACTGGCATAGCCTTGGGGAATTCAGAGACTCCTCTATGCAATGAGGCTTTGAAGGAGGTCTTGAGTGGAGGAATAATAATAGTAATGCTGAGGATAATGGCAGATCATACTTATCCAGTGGTTTGTTATTTACAAAGCACTTTCTTCTATTAACTGCAAACTAATAATTCTAGCTATAAATTATGGGCAACAGATTAGATCCTTTTAAATCAATACATTTGCCATATCAAGACTCACTGGGTTTCCTCTGGGGCTAGCCCACGGCAAGCAATGCACATTATAATGCCTCCAATAACAGCAAGGCTTCCAGCAATCCAGCCAACAAAGAGAGCAGCACCAAAGGTGTACCTAAAGCAAAAAAAAAAGAAAAAAAAGAAAAAAAGGGGAAAAAAGGAGGTAGCAGTATAGTAGTAGTAGTAGTAGTAGTAGTAGTAATAATAGTAGTAGTAGTATAGTAGCAAACAATAACATCAAGCCCATTTTCTTCCCCCTTCAGGCTAATGTCAAATTACAAATTCACATATGACCAAAATAATCCTCCCTGGCCACTGCTCCCCAATTTGTTTTGTATCTCCTGTTAGGATGTAAGCTCCTAAAGGGAAAACACTCGTTTTACTTTTGCATTTTTCTTTCTATAGTTTATCACAGGGCATGGGACATAGTAATTGCTTAATAAATGCTCATCCATCCATCTGTCCATCCATGCATCAGATCCATCCAACATTTCTCATAGGGGTACACACTGAAATTTGTTAGAAATTACAGACTTTCAGAGCTGGAAGGAACTGCAGAAGCCATTTAATCTATCCTATAACCTCAAAAGAATCCTCACTGCACAACACTCCAAACTGATCTTCTAGCTTTTGCTTGAAGGTCTCTGTAGGTGGTGAAGTAGATAGAGTGCTTGGCCTGGAGTTAAGAAGGCCTGAGTTTAAATCTGACCTCAGACATTTAATAGCTATGTGGCCCTGGGCAAGTCACTTAATTTATGTTTGCCTCAGTTTTCTCAACTGTAAAAAAGAGGTTGATAATAGCTTTTACCTCACAGGGTTGTTGTGAGGATCATATGAGATAATATTTTTAACAAGGCTAGCATATAGTAGGTGTTTAATAATTGTTTGTTTTCTTCTTTCCTTTCATAAAGGGAGAAGCCCATTCCACTTTGGGGTAGCTCTAAATGTTAGGCATTTTTCCTTGCATCAAGCCTAAATTTGCCCCTTTGCAGCTTCCACTCATTGCAAACAATTTTGCTTTCTGGATTGTAAGGGAATGAGTCTAATCTGTTTTTGACATGAGAGCCTATTGGAGATAGATATCATGTTCCTCCTGAGTCCTTTCTTTTCTAAGAAAAATATCTCCCCCTTCTTCAGCTGATCCTCACACTCATGGTCTTGAGTCCCTTGATCATTCTTGTTGCCTTTCTCTGGATTTTTCTTGTATTATTATTTTTCTTCCTAAACTGGCTCCCAAGACTGAATGCCATACTCTAGATGAGTCTGACCAGGGTAGAATGCAGAAGGACTACTGCCTTCTTATTCTTTTAAGCTATGTCTCTCCTAATGAGGCCTAAAATCCCATTAACTTTTCTGACTACTATCTTACACTGTTGAAAACTCCTTGAAGAGACCACTGGAAGAAAGAATAGAGAAAGGAAAACTTTGGAACCATAGATGGGTAATTTTGGTCCTGGACTTAATTCCATCAACCTGAGGTAAGTGTCCTTCGAAGTAATAGTGCTCTAACCACAATGTGTCATCTAATGTGACAGTGCCCTTTGTTGTAGGGCTCTGAATAGAGTCTCTAGAAGGCTTTATAAGAGCAATTTTGTAGCTAAGAAAGGAAGGAAATGACCACTTATTAAGCACCTACTATGTGCCAGGTCCTTTACAAATATTATTTCATTTGATCCTCACAACAACCCTAGGAGAAAAGTGCTATTATTATCCCCATTTTATTGTTAGGGAAACTGAGGCAGACAGTGGTTAAATGACTTGTCTAGAGTCACACAGCTAGTAAGTGCCTGAGATTTAATTTTAACTCAGGCTTTCCTAACCCCAGGCCTAGCATCTTGCTCCACCTAGTTGCCTGAAACAATGCTTAGCCTATTTATTTCTGAAAGATGCAGCAGAAAAATCATTGAATTTGTGACACCTACTGCTTACTATGGATGACTCACTTCAGCTCTCTGGGCCTTGATTTCTCCTTTTGTAGAATGAGAGGGTTGGACTAGATGATCTTTTTAATGTTTCCTCCAACCTTAAATCACATAATCTAAATCATTCCTCCTATGTATATACATAAACCAACAAACATTTATTAGATGCCCACTAAGTGTCAGGTGCTATGATAGGTGCTGGGGATATAAATATGAAAGTGAGACAGTTGATGCCCTTAAGAACCAATTAGACCAAAATCCCAACTTGTATTCCATTATAAAACAGAAGAATCAGAACAATAAAATACAGACATATCCTTTCTATATTCATTAATTGGTTCAATTCAAATACTATGTTAGGTAAAACAAATTTACGTGGAGCAGATAGGTCTACAGGAACAATGTTTTAATGTTATGAATAGATGACTAGCTAGATGGCATAACAAATTTTGGTTATATTATAGGTGGGCATGGGTTTTTGTTTTCCTTTTGGTTTTGGTCTAGACCTATGATTTCATCTGTTCATGGAACTCCCAGTGTGTAAACTTCCTCCATCAACACAGGTTTGAAATTTTAGCTATTATTTATAGTCTTAGAGAGTCACTTAGATCCCTGAGATGTTAAATGACTTGCTTATGTTCACAGATCTAGTATATGTCAAAAGTAGGATTTGAATATGGATCTTTATAAATTTAAGGTTAATCCACTATTCATTAATCCCTGCTGCTTCATAAGAGTTATAATGTCTTAATAATGCTATTGGGAAATTACTTTTGCTGGGACAACATGATATGGGGTATGTCTGCAAATGCTAATTCTCAATATACAATTTTCACATTGTAGAATGAAACATTACTAATCTCTCAAAGAACATAAATGAGGTAATGTGATAGTTTTGGTTAAATGTTCAAGGCGCTTTCTGTAATAGCTGATATCAGGACTTCATACCTAAACATAAACCTTTTCCCCATCCCCAGTCATGACCAAAAAAACAAATCAACAAAACCTTGGAATGAGAGATCCCCATGTGCTACTCTCTCCTCTCATAATACATGAATGGAAGGTAGAGAATCAAGCACTGTTCTTTGGACTCTTCCAAGTTCCTTCCTTGAGACAGTCCCTATTTTTTTCTCTCCCAAAAGGGAAAGAATATTTTCATTTAACTGTAATTCCATTGTGGGAAGAATATATTGTCTTACATTCAAATAATGGTGGAAGGGGGCATATGTGACAGTTCTTCCTTCCTAGTCCCTGAGCCTCTGAACACTCAGGTTTTACATATCTTGGAATATTACCCTTTGACTCACTGGAAATGGAAAACTGCTCCTGTACCTTTGCCAAGAAACCCCCAAATGGGGGCACAAAGTGTTGGAACACGACTGAAAACTGCAAAACACCAAAGACTTGGTTCAAATCCCACCCTGCCGCTTACTACCTATGTGACCTTGGAAAAGTTATTTAACCTCTCCAGACCTGTTTCCTCATCTGTAAAATGGTTGGGGGTGAGGGGTGGGAGACGGAGATATTAGATGACCTTTAGAGATTCTTTCCAGCTCTGACTCTATGACTCTAGTTCAGATGGAAAACTCTTAGGTTCAATGTCACCTTAACCCATCCTCCTATTTGCAATCCCAGTTAAAAGTACAGACAGCATTTTTCTACTGACTTTGTAGGTCCATTGTGAATGTTCTTTCCTTGTGCAATACTTAAACACTCTATTTATTGACTAACTTCCACTTCCTGATTCTATGATGCTGGTAGAAATGGAAGTCTTTCCTACAAGAAAAATGTCATTGGAGCATGAGGGTAGAGGACATAAAGCCTAGATTTAAACAGCACATGTTATGACCTGACTGGGGTTTGTGATTTCCCCAGGATGAAGTATATAATCTCATCCTACTTTGATGAATCTACTTAACTTTTGTATCCTTGTGAGATTAGAACTCATTATATACATAAAAAAATGTTAAATACAATATCTGTCATGCAAAATTCCTCTTGTCCTTTGGGTAGCTTTATTACTGGTAAATGTAGGAAAATGTTAAGATGCTTTTGTGGGCTGATAAAATCAGCCTATCAAAATTTTACATTCCTATATTTACCTAGGTTATAACAGTGTTGTATCTGATAAAAAGGACCATTGTAAAATATAGAAACATATGATACATACATAAATATGTATATGTGTGTGCATGTATATGAATAATCAGTTTATGTTTCAATTAAAACTTTTATCATTTATAACCTGATTTTTATAAGCTTAGCTTAATTTCTTTCAGAAAGAGGAAACGCAAGTTGATGCTAATTTGTATGCCAGGGTTAATAATAATCATTCCATAACAACCACAATAGGGTCTTATGTAAGAATGTGAGATAAATACTGTAAGCTGTCGTTGTATTTCAATGGAAATGCCAGATCAGACTCAAATCACATCCCCAAGTATATTTTACTGAAATGAAATTTATGAGTTCATAGATCATTGCTGATTTATGACATGAAATGGTTGGTTCTTATAAATACATATTTAAGACAGTGACAGTCACATTATACACATCTTAAATCTGCTTCACATAACAGCAGTTTTAGCATTGAATGCTTTATACCAAATTAGAGCTTACCTGGTCTGAACTGTCTGTACCATCCCACCCATTCCTGAGTACATGTTAGCTGTGGACATCCAGAAGTTAGTGACCAGCATGTTTGCAAAAACAGACACTCCAGCAATAGCACAAATACCTAAAAATCCAAAACAAGTCATTATTTATCTTTAAAATCTCTTACATGTTTACCTTTTCTGTCTCTCCTCCATATCTTGAAAAAAATAAAACAATTTTAATATATTTGAGAATCAGGAGATACAAGTGGGAAAGAATGTTTTGTAAACATTTCAAATTCTAGTTTATTCTTAACAACTAAATAATACTTGTCTTCTCAATATTGTCCGCCCTCTTATCCCTGCTTCCAATCTCCACTGGTTTTCCTGCAGAGTTTAACATGTTCCTACACCAAAGTGCAGAGGTTCCCAAACTTATTTGGCCTACTGGCGTCTTTTATAAAAAAATTACTCAGCACCCCCCTGGAAATCTACTTTCTTCAATATTTATTTTGAAATTTGCGTCATTAAAAAATATAAGATATATTTTTTAAAAAATGATGCATCTTAAATTTATTAATTTATTGTAAATTTGTGGGTTTTTTTTACAGCATTGAAATTTTGATGACACAATATTGTGTCATATAACTGTATAGTATCATACTGCAAACAAGTCATTACACGCACATATTCCTGCTGATGCATGCTGGATGTCCCAACAATGCGTGACACACTCTCCTGGCAATACTTGCTTGTTAAGACCTGTCAGTGGATTTGACCACTGACCAGTTATAATTTGCATTTTGTGTATTTATTCGGAAAACAATGTAATCACTATGACTTTAACTCTGTTACACAACAGATGAAATATGTACAAATGGTTTTTCAAAATTTCTTGTCTTCTTTCCTTATGTTCCACTGCCCCCTTATTTTTATTCAATGCCCCCCAATTGTACCCGAGGCTACTATCACCCCCCTGGATTGTTCCAGCACTCTACAGCAGGTGGCATCACCCACTTTGAGAACCTATGCCAAAGTGTGTGTGCATGCACATGTGTGTATGTGTCTGTTCAACTTTCCTTTCTTCACTTCAGATAAGAATGAGGTTCATCTGATGCCAGCTCTGCCCAGCCCTTCATCTGTGTGTATATATTTTTCTTTGTATATTCCCCAATTATGAGAAATACTAAGTTCCAATACTTTTCTCCTTTCTACGCAAGTATATTCTTTTTGCCCTTCCTCTCTTTCACCTCTTAAAACTCAGAACAATCCCTAGACTCAGTATCTCTGTTTTTCTTATTTAGCTGCCTCAATAACTTTTGAAGATATTGAGGCCCTGAGGGGGGCACTTGTTTCTTCTCCCCAATCAGAATGCTGGCATCAAATCATCACATAGCTCCTCTCCAATTTCTCAAATAAATTTACCTTTCTCTTGACTCTTCTGCTTGCATTTCAAAGTTTCTACTTATCTCTGGTCTTTTATTTTGAAATGCTTAAGAGTGTTTCTATTCTATTAAAGATTATTTCCCCCCAATAGGATTATACTCAGATTTGCAGTGCAAGTTATTTTTTGTTGTAAGCTTTGTCTTTTGCCTTTTGGAATATTGTATTCCAAGATGTTCTCTCATTTTTAGTAGAAGCTGTCAGGTCTTATTGTGGTATTGGCTACGATTCTTTGTTACTTAAATTCCTTTCTGGGGGATGCTTGCAAAATTTTATCTTCAAAGTGGAAGCTCTGGAATTTGACTATGACACTCCTGGGATTTTTGTCTTTGGAGGTACTTTTAGAACATGATTTCTATCTTGATTTTACCCATTATTTCTCATAGATCTGGACAGTTGTCCTTTATGAGTTTTTGAAATACAAGTCTTGAAATTTTTTGAATCATGGTTTTCAGGGAGTTTAGTCATTCTTACATAATTTTTCCTTGATCTATTTTCCAGGTTAGTTATTTCTGGTATCAGACATCTTACATTTTCTTAATGTTTAAAAAAACTTTTGATTTTGTCTAATACTTCTTACTGACTCATGGAATCATTGATTTCTTTTTGATCTATTCTAGTTTTCAAGGAGTCCATTACTTGAGTAAGGTTTACCACTTTCTTTTCTAAACTATTTACTCTCCTTCCAATTCTTTCCTTCAAAACTTTTATTTCTTTTTTTAAAATTTATTGCTTTATTTTTTCTAAATATTTGGGTAGCATTTGTGGAAAATCTATTTTTCCTTTGAGTATCTGCTTGAAGTTGTTATAGAGTTACTCTCATCTAGGCTGGATTTTTGAGTATTTCTACACATCCTTTTTTTCTTTCTACTAGTTGGCATCTTCTTTGGTTACTCATTTCTCCAGGTTTATTTCCTGAACTGGAGTTTTGGACAGGGTCGTGCTTCACCCATTGCTGTACTTTTGAATGAGAGTAGTCAGCCTTGTTTGTTTTTTTCCTAAGTCATTTGGGCTTGTGCACTGACCTCAATGTCCTTGAGTTAATCTCCCTGGATCTTTGAGGTTCAGAGACCTATTTTATTTTTGCCTTTTGACTATCATGGAAGGATATAATAATGATACTAGTAATAACTCAAGTTCAGAATGTAAACTCTTGTAGGGAAAGCGTTTTTGTCTTTTCTTAGAATTGAAAACAGAGCTTTTCATTTAAACAAAGTTCATGGGATTGAATTGAACTTACCTGACACAATGAACATTATTCCAGAGGTCAGAGTCATCTTGGCCTTGGCATTGTCATCCATGTTGCTAATCCGAATACATTTCAGGGCAAAGATGGATACTAGAAGACCAATGACACCCAGGACAATGCCTACAATCATTAGGGCTCTTACAGCTTGCAACATAGCTTAAAAAAAAAAAAAAGCAAAAGCAATTCAGTTTTAACTATTGATTAGAGTTTTCTTTTTAAATCACATAGCTGTAAGTCATATTTATATTATGCTTTAAAATTTACAAAGTGTTTTTCCAAACAACCACATAAGGAAGGCAATGCAAGTATCATTATCCTCACTTCACAGATAAGGAAATCGAGGCTCAGCAAGGTAAAAGACTTGCTAATGGTCATACAGCTAATATATGACGGAACCAGGAGTTGAGTCCAGTTTTCCTGACTTCAGTGCTTTTTCCAAAGTCACCATACTGCACTTAGTAGAATGCAATAAATTGTAGGTTTGTTTATTTTTTTCCCAGGTTAGAAACTAATACTGCTATACCCAGAGTCAATGTAATATAGTGGATAGAGAATGGGCCTCAGAATCAGGAAGACCTGACCTATATTGGCTGTGTGACCTTGGGTAACTCACTTTAACTCTTACTGTTCCCGTGCAGTTGGCTAAGACTGTAAGTTATAGAGAGGCTGTGATCCTACTGGTGGCAAGAGCTTCCTCATCAACAAAACTGCAGATACTTGATGTGCTCATATAATGATACATGTATTAATATGTAGGAAAGGATTTGGCCAAAGGTAGGGAGTAAAGCGCTACATGCCATCATGTGATACTGCAGTTAGGGTGCTGGGCTTGGGAGGCTAGAGGATCTTGTCTCAGATACTCACTAGCTCTGGTCTGGTCACTAGTCAGTTTCCTCATATGTAAAATGACAAGGTTGGACTAAAGGACCTCGGGGGTCTCTTCCAGCTCTAGGTCCATGATCTTATGATCTATTTCCAAATATTCTCAGTGATAGACCAGATGCCTATTCCAGGATTTAGAAAAATCTTTTGCATGACAATAATGGTAACAATAGCAAGGAAAAAAAATGAAAATTTGGCCTCACAGAGAAATTGGATGCCACTCATTCACAATACAAAAATCTACCCACAGGGCTTCTTTAAATGAAAAACTTTCGTGCAGTGGATAGAGCACCGGCCCTGAAGTCAGGAGGACCTGAGTTCAAATGCAGCCTCAGACCAAACACTTGACACTTACTAGCTGTGTGACCCTGGGCAAGTCACTTAACCCTAATTGCCTAAAAAGATTAAAAAAATTTTTTTCTTAATATTTTAAAAAAAATGACAAACTTCCCTTGGCATATTTAGAACAAAATTCAATTTAAATGGAAGGCACTATAAAAGCTACACAAATTCACACTAATCAAGAGGAATTTAGCCTAAATTAGTAAAATGTTAAAAACAACTTTTTGGTTTATACACAAAGTTAAAGGACTCGAACTGTAAGTAGAAAATATCCCAGCAGTGATATACCACAAATTATGTCAATTCAACAAGCAAGTTTTGGGCCTACTATATTTTTCTATGCTAAGCCCTTAGGATACAAAGGCGAATATAAAACCATCCCTGTTGTCAAAGATCTTACAGTTTGCTGGGGGAAGCAATATGTATACAAATAAGTAAATAGAAGATAATACAAAATAATTTTGAAGAAGTTAAAAGAGCACTACAATTAGGGGCTGTGAGGAATGTCAATACTAGCCTTGAATGGGAGTTGGAACTTGAGCTTTGAAGGGAGCTAGTGATTTCTAAAAATGGGGGTAAGGATGGAGAACATTTCAAGCATGAGGGAGAGCATGTACAAGGCACTGAAGTGGGACATAAGATCGTCACGTGTGGGGATAAATGAATCGACCATTCTGGCCAAAATAAAGAGGCAGGTGTGTGGGGGGAGAAGCTAGAGAGAATCATAATATGAAATCAGGCTAGAAAGATAGATTGAATCCCAAAAGATAAGATTAGAGCCAGAACACTTTTAAATGCCAAATTGAAGAGTCTGTATTTTATGCTTGAGTCCCTGGGAAAATTGAGTTGATTTCTTCAGGCTTTGGCTTCCAAATGAAGATACTTCCCTTTACCTCAATCCTCTTTCTCATGGGTTCAAACAGAAAAGTTAGCATCCTGAAAAATCTCTTCCTCATGAGATTTTTCTCTTTGCTTTCATTCACCCTAAGCCCCACCAAATAACACATTTACTGATGGCAGATCAAGGTGCTGATCCTAGGAACAACATAAGTAGGAAACATTTGCCACAAGCTAAGAAGAGCTCTGTTGGAAAAACAAAATGACTGTATGTGTTAGAATGCAGTGATGTGAGCTCTAGAAAAGAAAGCACAACTAATAAAAAGTCAACAAAAAACAAAGGAAGAAGATTGTAAAACCTGGAGTTTGGACTGGGAAGAATTAAGCTCCCATTTTTCTTTTTCTCCCCCTGAAAAATAACTTCAATGTTTTTTGTTTTTGTATCATTGTCACTTTCCATACTCAAATTATTCCTCCTTTGTGCCAAAGAAAAACAGTTAAACAAAACCAATCAACTAATCTATGGTCTTATGACATTATGGCCACAGTATATGTGACACACTATACCCATAGTCCCCCTCTTCTCTACCAAGAGTATAATTACAGGATCGTAGATTTAGAACCACATGGAACATGTAAGCCATTTAGTTCAACCTCTTTCATTTTTTTTAGGTGAAGAAACTGATGCCCAGAGAGGTTAAGTGATTCATTCAAGGTCACACAGGCATGAAAAGGCAGAGATGGGATGTGATCCCAGATCTTCTGACTCTTAATTCAGTCCTTTTTTCCATTGGACTACGTTGCCATAGCATAATAGTTATAATTACGATGATGACATATTTCTATGAGGTACATTTTTGCTGACGAAGTGCTTCCTTTAAAACAACATGGTGAGATAAGTAGTGAAAATAGCATTTTCATTTTACCAGTAATGGAGCTGAAGTTCAAAGGAGTCAGAGGATTACAGGATTTAGAGCTTTGAGAGATCATCTCATTCAAAGAATAGTAGGTTTATGGCTTTAATCTTTATTTTACAGATGAGGAAAGTGTTATATAGAGAGGCTATAACACAACCAATATCACATGGGTTGCAAAGAGCAGAGCTAAGGTTCAAACCCATCATTCTTTTCACTGTCATTTTAGAGAAGAGAAATTGAGACCAAGAGAGGTAAAGTGTTTCTTACAGTCATACACAGCTAGTAAATGGCAGATGTGAGGCTCAAATCCATGTGAGTCAGTCAATAAACATTTATAAAGTGCCTATGATATAACAGGCACAGTGTTAAGATCTGGGAATACAAAGAAAGGTAAAAAGACAGCCCCTGCTTTCAGGGAGCTCACGGTCTAATGCAGAAGACAACAGACAAAGAACTATGTATAAAAAAACTGTAGACATGATCAACTGAAGATAAGCAACAGAAGGAAAACACAAGAATTAAGGAGGATTGGAAAAAAGCTTCCAGAAGAAAATAGGATTTTTCTGGGACTTGAAGGAAACCAGGAAATTCAAGGGGTAGAGATAAGGAGAAAAAAGATTCTAGGTATGGGGGACAGTCAGTGAAAACTCTTGGAGTTGGGAGATAGAGTGTCTTGTCTGAGGAATAGCAAGGGGCAAGTAGGTTGTTCAGTGTGTAGAGTGCCAGGTTTGGAGTCAGGAAGACTCATCTTCATGAGTTCAAATCTGACCTCAGCCACTTACTAGTTGAGTGACCCTGGACAAGTCACTTAACCCTGTTAGCCTCAGTTTTCTCATCTGTAAAATGAGCTGGAGAAGGAAATAGCAAACCACTTCAGCGTCTTTGCCAAGAAAAACCCAAAAAAGGGTCATAGAGAGTCGTATATGACTGAAAAACAACTGAACAACAAGAAGGAGGCCAGTGTAACTAGATCATAGATAGTGGGGGGGGGGGTGAGGTACAAGAATACAGGAAAAGTAGGGGTCCTTTCTACGTCTATGTCAATGATTATTACATTAGGCTGATGAACAAACTGTTGACTTGGCTTTTTATCTCCACCATATTTTCGATTTTAGTATGATCTCTAGTTTCTGAATGCTTGCCCAACCTTAATTCTTGACTTTTTTTTTTTTTCTGACCTCTAGCTTCCTTACTGTTGCCTGGGTTTAGCCTGCTCTCTTGCCTTACTGAGATTAAATACAGGGGGGTGGAAGGAAATAATAGATCTAGCCTAGAATGGTAATTCTTTTGTTTTTATGTAGGCAGCAAGATTATGGTAGTAAGACAATTTGGAAAGCAGGAGGAATGCTGTCTCCCACTATAGAAGCTCAGATATTTCTAGTTTTGACCCTAGGGTTACAATGTGATTAATTGATTTTAATCGTATTCTATACATAACCCGAAAAGAATAGACTGATACTTGGAGGTTTTCATTTCACTCTTTTTTAAAATAGCCACTTCTGCTATTATTTGTTATTCTGATCAAGAAGGGTGTGCTTATCAGTTGACACCTGGTAAATCAATTGACTATTTATGTTTATTCAGTATTGCAAAGGTGTGATTACAGCATTCTTCTTGGGTGAATAAAAACTGTTATCAGACTTGAAGGGTGGGCAGGATTCAAAGCAGAGAGAAGCAAATACAAAGAGGAACAGAGTGTTCCCTCCCTATTGTAAAATACCTGCTTCCCTAAAGGAGGGAGGACTGTAGACAAGGAAGTGAAAGTTGAATACACTTACATGCAAATGAAATGTAGGTTGAGAGTCCTAAATATTTAAAGTATTTGAAAGGAAGACAATGGGGCATTTTAGGATAAAAGAATAATTATTATTAACATGAAAATATATTTTGTGAATATCTGAAAAGGAATATAGGTCTGTATTTCAGGTTTGGATTAGGAGGGAGCCTTAAAACATATGCATAGAAAATATTGAAGGATGGACCCTGTAAATGGTTTAGCAATATGGCCGACAAAAAAGAGACCATGATAGGTAACCCAAGATGAGTGGAAAAAATTGAGAGACTGGTGAGACAGCTTCAGAGAAGAAACTAGAGCAAAGGTATGTCAAGGTTCTCAGGTAATCTGGGGAAGTCTATGAATCCTTTCTTAGAATCATATTTTTGATGCATAAAACAAAG